ACATTTGTGTGAGAGTAGAGTTGACACTGTTGAGGAAACCTACGGTTTCATGATAACATATTTTGAATGCTATGAAATTCTGTGGAAGCTACTGAAGGAAAACTTTCATAGGAGGAACAAGGAAATATAACTGAACAGAAGGAACACTTCTTCCAAAATGACACAAGTGGAAGAGCAAAAAGTGACCCAAAGTCCTTGGGCACAAGCCACATACCAGGACAATGAGGCAGATGAGGTATGTTTTGTTGGTTCCTATTCTTAAGACTTGGCCAATCTAGGACCAGCACTTCCACTAGACCATGTGTTTCAATCCATCCAGAAACTTTGCTGTCATCTTTTCTGGATGTAGTGATTAATTAATATTGTCATCCTGACTGGATTAAGAAACACTAAGGTAATTAACTGGGAAAATTTTTGGATGCATCTATGAGAGATTTTCCGGAAATTTTTAACTGGGGATGGTGGAAGGAGTTCTGTTGTGAATGTAGATGGTACCACTCCATGGGTTGGAACCCTGGAGTGAATTACGAAGGAAAAAGTGAGCTGATCATCCCTTCTCTGACTCCCAATCTACCCAGAGGTGAGCAAGTTTATCCTGCCACAGCTGTCCAACACACCTCCTCTGCATGGCAGACTGTATCCCCTGAGCCAAAATAAATCTTTTCCTTCTAACTTGTTTCTTATCAAGTATATAGGTCACAGCAGGAGAAAAGTAACTACCATGCTGGCCAGACTACAAGGAGAAAATTCCCTGTGGACTTATCATAGAAAGTCATGTTAGGATAGCTCCATGATTCCAAAGACTGCTATGATCAGTTAGTTCACCAGGAGTGGAACAGCGAACTGTAGCTGAGGCAAGATAGTAAGCAAGGGAGGCTGGGAAGCAGCCACAGTTAAGTGAACAGATTCCATTCCTTTAAGTACATTAAACTCCGAGAGGGTTTACAGGGACATATGTACCTGACTAAGAGCCTGAGATAAATCCTGATTCAGATTCCCCCTGGCATGCTCACCTCCACTATTGTAATGTTTTTATGAAATGGTCAATTTGTGGCTCATGTCTGAAAACTGTCAGAATATCTCCTGTCCACACAAGGACCCATGCACTGTAGACTGTATGTCTTGCCTGTGGCCTAATTGAGACAAATGACTCAAATATTACAGTGTCTGGTTAAGAAGCAATTTTTGCTTTGACATTGACCAATGTCTTCACATCTTTGAGAACTGTTGAATCAAGTTTTCAAGTCACCATAATAAAATGGCCAGCTACTTACCTGAACACAGAAATTCTACAACCAGCTTTTGTCATTGTAGGTAACTACACCCTCACTCTGTTTTCTGTCAGAGTATACTCAATGTCACATCATAACTGTCACTTCATCACCATGACTACAAGGGGTATTTGATAGCTGACCTTCAAACATTTATAAAATAACTATTGTGTGCCTATTGTAGCATGCTTGTATGTGCGAGTAAAGGACTAATAATTCCACAGGAAATTAGGCTACAATCAGCTTGAGCACACAGTGGTGGGAACAGACATGGGGGATGGTCTTACCTTGAGTGGCTGCCCAGGCTAAGAAGATGGAGAACTTTTTTGCATACCAGGAGCTATGAAAGCAAGAATGTGGGGCAGAAGGTTTTCTATGGCAAGTGTTGACACCAAAGTAAACTGAAGGTGTCTTGTGTATCCTAATATCTGGTATATTTTTAAAAAGTGCAATGGTGCTATGTACCAAAAGGAACAGCTGACACATTGGATTCAAATTTGCAGAGCAGGTGATAGCTCAATCCTGACTGAAATTAAGCAACAAACCTTACAAGTCTCAGTGGAATCTTAATCCTCTAACAAAGTGATGCGTGTGTGAAATATAGAATACTTTGAAATTATTACAGAATCCAGTATGTTCACCATGTCTTTGAAGCAGCAGTGTTAAACATACCTTTGCTTGGGGCATCTGAAACAGAGCCTTCTGAAAAAGCATATCTATGGCTGGATAGTGAATCATGGCTTCAGTGGAAGATCAAGCAGCCAGCTTTGTTCAGAAAGGTAAGTAATCATTTATCTCTAATTCTGTCACTGGGGCATGCACTGCTCAGAGAAAAACAAAAGCAATATTGGGATTCCTGAAATTTTAAATAGCTTGAGTTTCAGCTCAAGACCAAGCCATCTATAGGTCACCACAGCACATAGTGGTTTCTATTGTTTTGATAAAAGGGTTGAGAGCACAGATCCCTCCCACCCATTTTCTGTTTTTGGTTTATAACTGTGTTTTAAAAATGGGGACGTTATTCTTTTGACATACTAGCAGTTAGATTACCATTTTTCCTACAATATTACAGTTAAGAAGGTATGTGGGAGCACCACTTCTAATGAGACCCGTTTCTATCCCCAACAATAGAAACACAAAAGAGTAAAGAAACAACACAGAGAGGGACACAAATGCTAGTAAACTCATTTCCCTTCTTTCAGATTATTGAATCATTTCAGACAATAGGTCTCCACAAAAGCATTATCAACAGCTTATGCTTGCCTCTGGCATATTCAAAGCTTCTATATTCTTAGGCATCTTGAAAAATACTGAATGTGCAATTGTCCTCATCATTTAACCATGTCATTTATATACAAAACAATTGCCACATCCCTAGATGACTTTAAACACCTATAAGCAATGTTTGTTAATCTATTTTTTCCCTCACAAATTTCTAAATGTTCACTTCAAAACAGAAGATAGTAAAAGCTCTCAACTGAATAGGAAGTTTTATATAATAGAAAAGGATAAAATGGAACAAAGCACCTATGGTTTAGAATGAGAGAAAACCCGTGTCTGAATCTAGGTTTACCACTTACTAATTGTTTGCCACTGGGAAAATTACTTAATGTCTCTGAGTCTCAATTCCCTTAGGTTTAAAATAGAGATAATAGTAGCTGTCTAATTGGATGGCTGCATTATAAAGACATTTTGTACATAAAGTAGAGGCTCACTTTAGAAATTAGCTACTGTCTTGATTACTCATTGCTGGATTAGCTACTTTCTTAACTTTTGAATTCATAGAGGCATTTGAAGGCACAATTAAGAAGAAAATTTCTAAGTTTTAGGAATCTGTGTTTGAGTCCCAAAAGTTCAATGGAAAGCAGGAAACCTGTGAAAGAGAGTTCTTCTAGAGGAAACACTGAATAATAATAGCTACCTTGGCTGATTGTATAAAAGTTGAAAAAGGCCATACTTCAAGGTACATGCTAGTAACTCAGTAGGCAGTAAATTTCCACTTTCATTGCAATATCATTAATTGTAAGTCAATGACCTAACTTACATAGCTGGCAATGTTCAAGTAATTTTTACTAGTATGGAATACAGGATTAGTCGCTAGTGATGGGTTAAGAATTGGTCTTTTAGGTGGTCTCCAGTATTTATTGATCTCTCAATCCTTCATGTAGAACCTGGGACCCCCAACGTGTGACTGTGTGACTAAGATTATTTAAATTCCTGTCGTGTAGTTGTACAAAGTCACCAAAAGGCCTAAAATATTGTATAGATGTTTTACTACATATTTTTATGTTGGAACTATGAAGCAACTGCATTTTCATGACAAAGGTGTTAAAGGAAATAGTGTTAATTGAAAAGTAGGGGGAAGGTAAGTAAAAGAACCAAACCAATCCTTTCACTCATGCTCCAAACCAAAAATCCTTACAAAGCATTTAGATTAGAAAGGAAATGTGCTGTTTGTCATCATCCAGACTTTTTATCTTTGTCCACTCTCTTGAATGAATTCTAGTGACTATGTTAGTGCAGTCAAAGATTTCTCCAAGAAAATCCTTTTCTGTAGGTCTTTGCTTTGAGTACTACAAAAGGGACAACACATTTAAAACTCCATTCTTTTGGACACCAAAGAAACAGGCCCGAGTAGATTTGTTGTAAAGTCATCAATGGTTTTATTTCCTAGAACTGAAGTGGTCTATGGTTCTCAGACCTAAGCCTCCAAAAGTATAGATAAATGTTTTTCATTAGAGCCCAAGGGAAAAGGGCAGGGCCAAAAGGGTCCAGGCACAAAGGTACATAGAGACAGATCTTGGGAAGGGTCACTCAACTTCTCAGTAGTTACATTTTGCTGTAGGTGACAACACGGAGGGGCCCAGGTAGTGACATGAAGATGGAAAAAACAACTTAAACAAAGAAAAGCCCTAACAACAGGAACATCATAAAATTACAAACAAAAGGGGAATTCCTGGTTCACATTAAAATGAGATTGGCCTCAGGAAAATTAAGAACAGGCACAACCAAAGGTTTTCCTAAATAAAATAAAATAAAATTCCTCTTACAAAATAAAGGTAGTTCCTAAAGTGTTATGTCCTAGTGATATAATGACTGAAGGCCTTGGGGCTCCAAGGAGGATTGAAAAAGGCAGCAGAGGTGTCCCCAAGGGCATCCATCAGACATAGAGAGGATAATGTCTCATCACTTCTATCCAAAATGGCAAGCAAATTATTCATATCTTAGAATCTGGGAGCCCCAAATGTTTTAATGAAAAACAAAACAAAGAAAGCAACCTCCAAACTGTCTGGGACAACAGAAAAGTTTACTGGGTCCCCCTCCCCTCAGTCTCACTTTCCCCAAACCTATAAAAATGAGAATAGAGCGATGGGAGGAGACAGGAACTCAGGGAGACAATGTTCATGCCCCCACGGGACAAATACCAGCAGTTTACAAATCGTCCCTCCCAGACCTTTGAAAGTAGTCTCTGCTCTTTGTCTTCCACCCGCTTCACTCCTGGTACCCAGGCAGAGATCCAAAATGCCCTTCAGGGAAGGAAGGGGGCCCGGGACTGAAGCCATGAAGTTGATGTCAGGTGGCCTGACCCGTGTCAGGAATTCGGGCTTGGAAAAGGTGAGTAAATGAAGGAGAGTCGGACTGGGGTGAGGACTGGGTCCTAGTGGGTTTTGCCAGCCACAGCCAGGTGGCACCAGGATGGGGCAGAGGGCTCTTCTGTGGACACCTTGACTACAGGCCTTCGATTTCTCCACCAATCAGGGGGGCCTCCTGGTCTGTGGCCTCTTCCTCCAGGGGAGGCCGCTGCTCCTGGGGTTGGTCAGGCTCTTCAATGATAGGACAGGCCTCAGCCTCGCGCTCTCCACTCGGCTCCACCTCCAGCGGGCCGGGCGCCGCCTCCCTGGGCCGTTTGGGGGCGTCCTGTGTCTGCTCCCCCGCGCTCCTCTTCAGATGCCGTGGCTCCTTGGCCTCGGCCTCGGCCTCTGCGTGCTGATCTCCTGCCTCAGCCTCCTCGCCAAGGCCCGGCTCTTCCTCCGCCGCCGCGTCCAGCAGGCCATAGGCAGGCTGGGGGCCCGGCCTCGGCCC